ACAGGCACCCAAGGAGTTAAACTGGGAATGCTACCGACACACCATTAACACCTACATGGCAAGAGGATAGACACATATGGTATGTGACAGGTGATTGAGGGGTTAATACTCATGGCTGCTAGCCCTGCTGCCCTGGGTGGGACAGGGACACAGATTGCTGGTCTCACAGCCCCCACTCTCCCACCCCCATTCACATTAGTAACTGCACCTGTTTTTTCCTCTTTCTTCTTTTCAAGCGCTGTATTGCCCCCCGCCCCACAAAGCAGCCATGGGGGGTCTTAGAGCTGCATTAAATCTATATTATATGCATGTTTTAAAAGGACATGTGGAGAGCTGAACCCAACTCAGAGAAAGATGCTGGGGATTCGTAAATCCCAATAATGACCGTTTGGGGGGCGGAGAGTTAGAATGAAGTTTCTAAAAATTAATTGGTATTAACAACTCTTATTTCCTTTAATCAAATTGGCAAACTTCACTGAAAATACAGCCATAAATTAATCATTTAAACCAACTCTAGAACAGCTAAAACGTTTAATTCTTTGATATTTTATTCCCCCCCCCCCCATCATTTCTGGCGCTGAATTATTTAACAGCGTTAACCCATGCAGTCTGTGAGTCCCGGCTCTGGCTCTCTGGACGTGGATTCCCGAGGAGGAACTTGATACAATGTATCTTATTTATTTATCATCGCGGCTTGTTTATAAACATTGTATCAATCCGTTAAAGTGACAGATCCCGAGCTGGGTCAGGCCAGGAAACCCAATAAACCGACAAACAGGTGGAAAAAAGTAAACTTTTGTGTTCCCTCTGTTTAAATTGTATTGTTCAACACGTTGAATGAGACAAGTTGTTGTAACCATGGAAACAGCAGGTCAGTGAAGCGTCCCCAGGGAGGGGATTGTCTGACACACCCCATGTGCCTCTATCAGATGGCAGATGTCATCTAGCGCCACCTAGTGTTTAAACTAAAAAAATGCAGGCACTTGCAGATTGTATAGATTGCTATTATTAAGTCTTACTTATAGAGCTCTAGCACTGTCTGTAGCGCTGTACAACGGGCTCAGTATTTTACTGTAGGCTTGGTGTTGCCAGATACTTGTGATGATTTTCCACCGTCGGCAGCGCTAGTCCTAAGAGAATGTGACCTTCATTTAAATACACATACGCTCATCTCCAATCTATTTAAAATATAACATTTACTGTACGTTCCCCGTGTTTGTATGCCCCTGACAAAGTACGAGGTTTTACATTGATTCATGTCCTTTCATTCTACAAATATTATATCTAATTAGCTGTACACCCCCATGTATGTTTGAACTGAATCAATTGCTCAATCAATAATTAGTTGAGCAATAATATATGTTGCAATAATATGAAGACTGCATTTAATGGTTGATTTATATTGCAAACATATGCTTAAAAATAATGCAAAACAGTTAATGTATGTTGACCATAGTAAGCTCATTCCCAGTTCTGCACTGAGGGGTCTCTCTTTAGGCTACCTATGGTGATTGTGGTCCCTCTCCTAGTCCACATGGCCACACAGACCAACTGTCAATGTCCAATGTGCTCCATCACTTGAAAATACTCCCATTCTATATTAAATGGTGTAATGCACCAGGTTCATGAGATGGTACTACTTACTGTAGGATGGTTGTCCATAGGGTGGGTTCTTGGGTTTATGTTGTAACCAGCACTTGTCCCACAGCTGTGATACAACTCTACATGGATTTAGACCATGATGGTGGGAGTCAGGGGGTATGGGTGAACCTTAAAGTTACAGTTAAAGAGTAAGGTCAGGGCATTAGAGTAAGAGTCAATCTAAAAGTGTTAGACATACAGGAACACAACTCTTGGCAAGAGCTCTGGTGTTGGGAAGGAGCAAATGGTGAGTAAGGATTATCATGGGAAACCCTGACATTAAATGGGCATCCTGCGACACCATGTACCATGTGGCAGCCTTGTCCATTATAATGTGTCTTAGAAACCATTGTCAAGTGGAAACATAACCCTGGCAAGTGCGCCATGGACCCCACTGCATGTGAGGATCCTCAGTGTTGTCTTAAAACAGCTTTTTAACAGTGGCTGCATTGCTGATTTTTGTGGCTCTCCACAATGGCCAAAAATAGTAGAGTGAGATGGCCATTATTAAGCTCTGGAGAGATTGTAGAAACATGTCTGTCAGTTAGCAGACCTCACCCAAATCAGGCACCATGCAGGGGTTCTTCAATTGTCAGTACAAACTGTATACCCCATAGATAGGTCAACACATTTATTGGGGAGAGAGATCACAAGTAAATCCCTATATTCTGCTAATACATATAGGTGTTAAAGTTAATGAGAACAAAGATAATAATGTACTTTTCGCCCAATGGTAACATTTCATTTAAGTGTAATGTTACAGGAGAACTGCTGCTCAGCCAGGGATCAAATAGTAGTAGGAGCTTTGCGATGCTTAGTATCTTATAGGCCTGGTATCATAATTATTATGAGTATCATACTTCCACCCATCAACATGACCCTGGACTGAAGGAATCACCAAATCAGAGGTTCACCCAACAGAAATGGACATTAGGAGCGGTGACATACATTGAGAACAGGACAAAATGGTTGTGATAGTGTCCTGACTCCTGACACATATCATGTGACCTGCGCATTATGGAGATAATAAACCTAGTTTGTATAGAATGCAAGGTACCAATTTGAAAAAATCCCATTTTATTCTAATTTAGGAGTCAGTGGGATATATTCACTAAATCAAGCACTGAGAAGGAACAGATACAAATTTCAAGCCACAACATCCAAGTTGGAAAACATTTTGGCCCTAAATTTTCCATTCTTTTGACCCATCTTAATAAATCCAAGTTTAGTGAATGAACCACTGTGTAGATTTGAATTCAGAATATTTATTTGCTTTTTTAAAATTGATTTCTGTATAAACACGCACACTGTCTCTTTGCCTGGTGAGACACTGGTATTGATTTTGTTCTGTCCAAGTGAAATATAGCCAGATAGAGGGCCAATGTTTATGTTACTATCTGTTCAGACTATTTGAATGATAGCAGTAAAATATTAATACCGATAACAACATCCAGGCCACAAAGTGAATTTAAAACCGTACTAATTGAAACTCAAACATTACTCATATCAATATAAACAAGACACTAAAGTGCTCTTATTGCAAATGTCAGAATCAGAGCTAGGAATGTACTATCCTGTAAGCTCTGAATATAATATTACATCCACTAAATAAACGGTCGTAATAATACCAGAATTAATATGAAATTCAGGGAATACTATGACGAAACTTTAGATTTAACTAATAAGCAAATTATTTATTTGTACCCGTGGCTTACAGTGTGTTGGTAAAGATAATAATGGAGAGATAAATTGCGAGGACAAAAAAAATAAATAAATAGATTTGTTTGTCAAAATTAAAGATTTCACATATTGTTTTCTTTGTGGGATAATTTTAATGCTGACATACAAGTTAAAAAATCTTTATAGTGAAACTATACTCTTGCTTCATGGAGGCAGCCATCTTTAAATCCACTTTGGTAGATAACATGACCGCGCACAATTAAATTAGCTCAAACTGGTCAAGAAAGCGTTTTTGAGATGTCAAGTGCCTTACACTTGATGCCAAGGTTCATGACTTGATTCTCCTGACTTGTCCTATTTTAGCCACCATACTCTTGGACAGCTCTGATTGACAGAGATTACAGGGTTAACCTATCCCAGCTCTCTCAACCATTCACTAGCCAGTCCTGGAAAGACAAAATCTGGAAGAGGAGGGGGCAGTCTCCGAATAACAAGAGCCCCAGTCTATGTCAAACCTTTCCTACACAGTATGACATGCTATCCTTCACAGAGTGGGCTTTAACCCTGTTAGGACGCCATGATAGGTATTCATGACAAAAAATTTAAAAAAAAATCCTTAATACAATGTTTATGTTAGTATATACCATCTCATATTAAAATATAAAAAAATCATGTTTATTAACATATATTATTTTTAAATTAATCACTTGCCTAGCTTTCACAGCCATCTTTATAAACCTTAATTCGGGCAAATAGTACTTAATATTATAGTTCACTCGCATTAAAAAAGTGAATGATAGTTTGTGAATGTACGGCGCATGGACACAATGCTGGATGCATACAGTCCAGAATTTGGTACTTTGTGAATCTTCGTTCTGAAAGCACCAATTTTTATCGAGTCACCGAATGCATCCTGGCGATTGGTGCAGATTCGCACAGGCCAACCGAATTCTCTCCATAGTTGGCTTTACTAAGTATGAGAATCGCCATCCTAGTTGGAATTCAGACATTTTCCAAGGGTTTTGTTACATGTTTTACTAGTTATTTTACCTTAATTTTTGTAGTTTTATTATATTGAGGCCAGAGTTCACAAATATACGACATAGTTGTTATGACACAAAACAAATTATAAAATAAATAAGACAAAACAAAAATGTAAAGTATATTTAAAAAAAATCCAGATTAAAAAATATAATTCCACAAATAAACAATTCAAATTTTTTTTTCTTTCTTAATTATTTAAATATTTTGTGTATATTCATTTATCTATATATTTTTTTAATTTCCTCCAGTCTGGCCGATCGGCTTGACTGTATTTGTTTAGAAGTATGTACATACAAGAGAAGAAAAATTGGGAAACATACAATAGAATTTATCTAAGAAACGTTATGGAAATCCAAATATTATTACACATTCTACTATACTATATTGTAAAACACATTTAAATCATAGCACACAGTACATTTGATTGATGTGAAACACTTGAAATAATGCGCCCAAAATAAACCTGTTTCACCCTTACTTCTGACAAGTTTAAAAGTCTTTACTCAGGATTGTAAAAAGAGAAATTGGGAGGCGAGCTCTCACATCATTAGCCCGCAGATTCTTTTTGAAGTTCTCTGCATGGGGCAATTACACTCATACCTGTCACCTTTGTAAAGGACATCAGCCCTTGGTGACGAGGAGCCTCCCATTAGAACAAACAGGTAAAACACTGACAGAGAATACAGGTTTTAACTGCAAACCGACTGAACTGATTTGAAAAAAAAAAAAAAAAAAAGCTGCAGGGTATCGACTACTGACTGAGCGCGAAAGTTGCTAATTTCACTTTACTTAGTCAGACTAAACACTGGAATTAGGAAGGCATGAGTTCATCATGATTCTTGTCACTGATTGGACAGTTCATATATCTATAGACCAATCAGGTCAGTGCAAACATCTAGATCTTTCGATTACACTGCACACAGCTTAAACAAGAAGTTAAAAAAAACAAATTAAGACGTAAAAATGATACAGTACAAAATATCCGTCTGTAAAATGATAAAGTACAAAATATCCGTCTGTAAAATGTAAAGTACTGTAAATTGGCAATTTTAAATTGCATTATCAAATTTAGAAATATATTTTATAAGTGCGATGTTCCGTAATCTGAGTGATGTATATTAGTCTCTAGACTTTCTCAGTAAACTGATCACACACTGAGAGCTGAGAATTCACTTTCAAACAAATTGGGACATGTCCAAATTTTGGGCAATCGGCAGACCGTCGTCTGCATCCATAACTTTGAAGTATGTCGTTTTCTGATCCTACTTTTTTCCCCTCTTTTGGTTACTTCATCTGCGAACCAAAAGACAAGAAAAATGAGCATATTTAGCAAAACGCTGATTGGCTAACTTCC